AAATTTTTGTTCAATCAGCAACTATAAGATAAATTAACAATAACAATCGGATGAATATATCGTGCTTAATAGTATCTACCTACTATTGGTTATAAATTTTCTCGAGTTGTTTTAAACTTACTTTGTTTTAAAAATATTCATGATATATTTCTGCGCTATCGGACTCTATGGAAACGGTATGAGAACAAAAGCTAAATTCGAACAAAGGGTGTACCGCAAGAGAGAAAAGCGTTGTTCTGGACAGGCACATCGAAATTTATAAATACGTTCATATTCTCACCCGGGTTTAATTCGAAAACTTTTAATATACGATGTTAAATTACGTCCAATCGATATTAAAATTAATGGTTAAAGTTTAAATTATTATTATTTTTGATTACGTTGTTATTATTGCATTATATCTCGCACCCTCAATCGCTCTCCGTCACCCCACCAATAAACCGTTTCAATATAATGTAAATGTATCAAGTTTCGTCGTTACTCGAATAGGGTTCCTTTTCCGCCAAAAGCTTTTTTATTAACCCTTATTGCGACCTGTCTGCCCGAATCGCCGCCGCACTTATCCGTTTCATTGCCATGAAACAATATTTTATATAGCGGCTGGAAAATGAAAGGCTTTATGTTCTTCGTCGGCAGACGAAGTCTTATTTCTGTTTTTATTTGATCTTAAATTCAGTTGAGAGGAATTACATACAAAGTCTAAATCAATTTAGTATTATCTTTTTAATGTAAAATCACTTATTTGTAAACTTATCTGAAAATGTAATTCCTAGTCCGTGTTGCTAATTGATAGGATAATTATTGCGCAATTTAATTTGATTAATTAAATTCAAGTCAAGCGTTCTTAGTGAATTTTAGCTTCGTCTTATCAAAGGTTGTTTGTTTCGCTAATATTTAATCGATACTCGATGTAACACTCGAATATTAAGTTTGGATCTTATGCTCGTTTATTTTAATTAATTTCGTAACATATTAAAGCATATAGGTACCTCTTCGGATAAGTTTTCATCTTGGCTTGGTAACTGAAACCTTTATATCTTTATTTCTTGTTACTTTGGTTTTTATAGACTGGTTTCTAAAGCCGGTTCCTCGAACTGCTCCATAATGCGTGTAGAATTCTCAACAATCTTCCAGAAATGAGTTTTCATCGTAGACATTACATGGCCGCATAATGACAATTGGGTAATTTAGTAAAAAGTGATCGCATGTCGAAGCTAAATAATTTGGAAAATTTTGACAACAGCAAAAATAACATATCAGCGAATATGTAACCCACACCAAAGGAAGGAGAAGGTCTAACAGAACAATTCACGGAGCTGTATAGTAAAATACTGCAGGATATACAGATTCAACCGTATCACAATTCCACTCTTTAAGAAAAGAACATCCTCAGGCAAAAATTACCGCGGAATTTCCCTCCTAGACGCTAAAAAAACAAATCGACGGTCGACGTGACACTTCTGCTTTATACATTTGACGAAAGTGATCCACAGAATACGACTGCCAACTTAATACAAACAATATCACCACAATTAAAACAAAGACACTGTAGAATTACCCTTGAATGAGGATGTGAGGCAAAATAACAGCCGCTTAACTGCTCTTCGCCATCTTAATAAACAGGATATAGAACAAGTATGTAAGCTAAAAGACGGATATAAGATGAGAAAAGACGAACTAAAAATCTTATGCTACACGGTCGACGCAACATTGATTGTAGCCACAGAGAATAGACTACAATGACTACTATAAGCTTTTAAAATACTAATATACATAATATCGCTACAAATAGAAAATATACAAAGCGTGCGTCAAGCAATAGGATTGGAAAATGGGGTCAGAGAAGAAGCAAGGAAATTCGGGCAGAATACGGAAAGTGTGGTAAGATAGACGCAAAGGCGCAGGAGATCTGGAACAAAGACATTTCACTAATGCAAAGGAATAGAATTGACAGATTGCAGACCAGCATCCTGAAGGCCATCAGGATAACCTCCAAATAGATGAAAAGATAGCAGGTCGTCCGCATCACTAGATATGGAGGCAAAACAGAATGGCTACAATGCGTTTCCATAAAAAAAAGAGTTTTGAATCTTCTAAATGTTTCGTAAGATGTAGGTGAGTTATTGTGATTATGAATTTTTGACTCCTGCTTACAGAAACAGGATTTTCTTTTCCTGTGGTTGAATATCTTTTCCATTCTGTTAACTATTTTATCCGTTTTAATTCTCCTGTTAGTGTTTAAATCATGTGGAGTATTCATATTGTCCTCATATCATATTTTGACGAATTTAATAATATCTTCTATTTTTGGCTAAGCCCCATCTCATTCGCTCTGTCGATGTTATACTTTTGACCGTAAATTTCAGTACCTTCTCTGGCTACTTTCTAATAATAGGCTGTTTCTGGTAAGTATTTTTGTTTTATCAACATTTATGTCATGAAGGCGTTTAATACTCTTTGGCTACTGAGAAGTCGGCTTTTTCCCATCTGTGTTCCTTTGTACGACAATTATTTATTTATTTTATACTAGAATCTTACACGATTGCCCATATGACTCTCCTAAACCTTATAATGACGAATTCTTTTTCAGTCTTGTACCCAACTATTCATTCCGTTACACGACCAAGAACTATTATAGTATTAATTTCATTATGAACAAAAATAGCTTCATTTCTTTTCTCAAAAAACAGCGCTTGTTTAATACGATAAAGATGATCTGTCAAAACAATATTCGCCATACTTTGTCCAACATTCAACATCGAGACGTAATGAAAGAGATCCAGAAATGATTAAACTGTCATATTGCTTCCATAGAATAAAAGTTCATAAGTTGAATCGATGTATAAATGTCTTTATTAAATAAGTGCTACATATGTTTCGAATCTAATGATTCTTCTTCTTTGGCACGACGTCAAAAATTAGGTTGTTTGATGGAATTGAACATTCAAAACCGTTTGTAGAACGTTTTTCTTCGTAAGATTGTCGCGTTGTGATTTTATTAAGAATTAAATGTTCTACAAACGGTTTTGAATGTTCAATTCCATCAAACAACCTAATTTTTGATGTCGTGCTAAAGAAGAAGAATCATTAGATTCGAAACATATGTAGCACTTATTTAATAAAGACATTTATACATCGATTCAACTTATGAACTTTTATTCTATGATTTATACGATGTACCTGGAATCCACTATATATAAAATATTGCTTCCAGGCTAGCGACAAAATTCCTTTTTCTGAAGAAGTACTCGAAGAAACGCGAGCTATCACATGAAGTGAAACATCTTATTTACGAAACATTAAGCTTTGTTGTAGTGACAGCCTAGGAGGGTAACCAAGTATGTATCAAACATGCAGGACGCAACATCAAGTAAAGACTGCAAGAAGAATTGCAGCGTTTAAAATGATATGATATTCTGGATGTGCACATCAAAGCTTTCAGTCTTTGCAAGTCTTTCCGCAGTTCTTGTTTCTTATCTAAATGGGAATGGGAACCTTTTCAGCCAAGCCTTTTCCAAATTTTTTCAAGATATTGAACATCATGTCTCGAAGGATTGTGATAAGTGTGAAAAGAGAGATGCAAAAAAGAGATAAGTAAGAGTAGTACATTTTAGCGCCTTTTTATAAACAGTTTTAGTTTTGTGTGGACGAATTTTGCATTGACAATATAATAACAATAAAAGGAACTTTTTTCATTCCATAAGCATCAAACGCTCAAGAGATCCAATGATGTGGCATCAATTTTAAATGATTACATTCGTCCCAATATTACAAAATAGCACAATGATAAAGTTTTTACTGGCATTGAAATAGCTGCTATTTAACGAGTAAAACCAAGCTGATCATTATCCAACAAATCTACACCCCATTATTAACTCAAGCTACGGGTTTGAACTCGTCCAACCAGGTCTCGTTAAGTAACACTACTCCAAACAGCTCCGTAACATTTACGATTTTTTTTTGTTTTGGAATTTTCAATGATCGCTGAAATATTTACATAGCATTGCAGTTACGGCGATCGATTGAATGAAAACCCAAATTTACAAGGTCTTGGTTAACAGTATTATTGCGTCGATGTTTAAAATAAAAGTTAAATTAGGTCATGAGGTCCCTTAAACATTATTAATTTATTCTCAAAACGACGGAAATTTTAATATTTGTTACCTGCAAAAACCGATAGCCAATCAAGTTTAGGAGGGTGTTCAGAAATTAATTTTACCATTTAAATAAATTACCCTTCTAAAAATAACTACGCTCCGTTTTCTTTTAACACCATAAATTATTTTATAAACGAGTAAAGTTTGCGTGCATTATTTATTCGCCGTACAAGTTAAGTACCTATTAATTTTTTTTATTGATAATCGATTTTAATATGGCATAAAGTTGATTAAAAAATTATTCTCATCGAAACTTAATGCCTTTAATATATTCCTAGTTCTTTGTAGGGTTAGATAACTTTCTAAACTCGAACTTTGAAACTTTCCCAACAAGCTTAACCAACACTAATTATTAATAAGCTGCAAACTGACCATTAATAAACGAAAATGTTGTCCTTTTATTCTCCAAAATTACATTACATAAGATTATTCTGCATTTGATTGAATTGAAATTCAAAATTGAATTGAAAATTGAATTTCAATTGTAAAACATATTACATTCCGAGATTATACCGGTGAATCCGTTTTGAAAATCACACGATTGATGCAAATCCATTTCAGCATTCGAATTACATACCGTATCCGTACGTGAAATACCTTTCGGTGAGGCCTATTTCTGTATTCCCGAGTATATCTGAAAGTTCCGAACGGATGGATCTCAACGTCGATTATCACAAAGGACATACTGAAAAAGCCAGAATGTAACCACCCTCTCCGCTTACAACCCTTCAATCCACTTTGCCTCTCTACCTTTCAAATGCACGACAAAAACATTCTCTGTGTCATAGTTTGCTATTTTATTTTTTTTATATAGAACGTTTTAAAATTTTATTTAACACTTACCTAACACGACCAATCGATAACAATTCTTTTGGGGTGGAATAACGTCATCACAAGCATTGGAGATAGCCGGACTTGGACCAGGTGTCGTTACGGTAACGGGAGTTTGTTCTTCTTGGTTTCCCCCATCCTGCTGCTGCTGTTGCTGCTTTTCCGAGTTGTTGTTCCGACACAACCAACTCGTGCACGCGCCGAAGTTCATCTCCTCTTCCTGGTAAACGTCCGGCACAACCGCGGTTATCTCTCATTACGGTTCGCTCAATGCTGCAACCAAATCAGATAATTACCATTCAATGTAACGTAAATTGGAGCACACATTCAAATTTCAAATTACAAGATACACAAACAACTATACAATTGATTTTGGTCGTTATAAATATCAATGTTTACCTTTAAGCACATACGCACGTTGAATTTGCGGTAGTTTGAATAAATTGATTGTAACCACGTTTTAGGTATTGAAGTAAAAGGGGGTTAGACAAGTCGTAAGTGGTAAAGGGCCGAAATTGGAAATCGGGCGAGATGTGGCGCAATTAGTTCAATCTGTTGAAGGGTGGAAATTTGAAATTTCGCTATTCGACTATTGTAAAATGGGGAAGGAGAAAGGGTTGCTATAAACGTTTGATTACAAACGCGCAGATCTCTCGACCCGTATGAATTTTAACGGTTACTTTACGAGGCGATAAAACTTTATTGAACGATCTCTATTGTAGATCGTGAACTTAGCAAACGTCGTTTTTCTAAATGGTAGGTATTAGATGAGAATATCTAACTATGTAATAATCTACCTGCTGTGTTGGCCATAGAAAACTTACTTGCTTAAAAATATATTTAAAATAGACACAAATATAACATATAGTGATTTAATACACTGTATACTCCAGAATATTATAAATGAAGAATATTATAGAAGAAGACATTGAAATTATCGCTAAAACCATTAATTTTAATATGAATCATAAAAATTGGGGCGTTAATTATCTGGTTTCTAAGAAAAATATGTTGATGCAAATACAAAAGCTAAAACCATCTATATTAATATACGCTATAATTAATAATCTAATTTCCCAGGAGAGCTTGACAAAGCAACTGAACGAAAAATTGAAATTGGATACATGGCCCTTAAAACATCCTTAATAAAAAATAATGACTAAAAAAATTGTTAGTCACCGAAAATATGTTCTTTGAATATTCTAAAAATCTAAAAATTTCCTTGACAAATGCAAACCCCCTATAAATGATAGAATTTAGTTAATTTTTTTAATAATCTTATTATTTCAATTTTCGATAAATATGCTCCACTAAGGAATAGACGATTTTCTAAAAGACGTAGTCCTTGGCTTACGCCGCAGTTAAAACAAATGATGTGTTTGAGGGATAGGGCTTACTCTAAATATAAGCACTCTAAGAATATTAATGATCTGTATAGTTACAAAGATTTGAGGCGGTACGTGGAAGGAGCGATAAGAAGAGAGAAAGAGGCATACTTTGGTTCGGTGGTGGCTCAGCGTAGTTCTGCTAAGCTATGGCGGGTCCTTCGTGATTGGGGTGTCGCCAGACAGACCATTGCCTGGGAGTTTGGGTAATGCAGATGAGATAAATGATTATTTCGCTAGATCTTCTGAATTGGGAGGGGTTGTTGATCAGGATGTTGTTGACTTCTATAATAATTCTAAATTAAATCCTACTAATAATTTCCTATTTGAAACGGTAGATGAATTCATTGTCGGTTCACTACTTTTGAAGTTAAAATCAGGCTCGGTTGGTTTTGATGGTGTTTCATCCTTAATGTTGCATCTTTGCTGTCCCCATATTCTACCTTTTGTAACACATATTATAAACTACTGTTTAGCTAACTCAGTTTTTCCAGACGCTTGGAAAACTGCTAAAGTGATCCCACTGCCTAAGATAGCCAATCCTACTTCGTGTGGTGACCTTAGGCCGATTAGTATTTTGCCTGTTTTGTCTAAGATTTTGGAAAAAATCATGGCCTTTCAGATGAGATTTTTTGTTGAGGGTTGCAGTGTTTTGCCGACGACACAGTCTGGGTTTCGTAAAAATCATGGATGTGGTACAGCATTGATGCATATAACTGATGATATACTGCGGGCAGCTGATGATGACATGGTTACGGCTTTAATTCTTTTCGACTTTTCGAAAGCATTTGATACGGTGAATTATACAGTTTTGGATTCTATTCTAAAGTACATTGGGTTTTGTACTAATGCTGCTGCCTTAATATTGAATTTTCTTTCTGATCGAAGACAGGTCGTTTCCTGTGGCATGATCGTCTCGGCTGCCCGTGGATTAATGGCCGGTGTACCACAAGGTTCTGTATTGGGTCCGCTCTTATTTAGCATTTATACTTCTGGTCTCCAAAATTGTCTCAAATATTCTAAAGCTCATTTTTATGCCGATGATTCTCAGATATATTATTCTTTCAGACAGGATGATGCTCCTGTGGCCCAACTTAGGATTGCGGGTGATGTTGCTCGGTTTACCAAAATGGCTGCCAGTCACAACTTAAGATTGAATCCCTTAAAATCGGTTATGTTGTTGTTTGGTAGACGCAATGCCCGCAACGCTTGCTCTCATTTTAGAATTGAGCTGGATAGTGGTGACTTGGGCGTTGCGGGTTGTTGTCGTAATCTTGGCCTCCTAATGGATTGTGATGTCAGATTTAGGGATCATGTTACTTTAAAGGTCCGTAAATCATTTGCGGCGCTGAAGCTTATTTATAATATTAAAAACTTTTTATCTAGGGACATTAGGGCGAGACTGTGTGACGCCTTGGTACTCAGCCAATTTAATTTTTGCGACACGGTATACGGCACTTGTCTGGATCAGGTAACTGCCGGCCGTATTCAGAAAGTTCAGAACGCCTGTCTGAGACTGATTTTTGGGTTGCGTTTGAGAGATCACGTTACATGTTTTTTGAAGGAGGTGGGTTGGCTTAATATGGCTAACAGGAGGAAATTACATCTGTTAACTTTTTATCATAAATTACTTTTATTTAAGTCGCCTTCTTATCTTTATAATAAAATATCATTCCGGACTGATGTTCATAATTTGAACATCAGATCCAAGGGCTTGATTACTCCACCTCAGCACCGCACGGTTTTGTTTCAGCGGTCTTTCTCTTTTAATCTACCCAGGCTTTACAACCCGTTGCCAAGTTCTCTTAAGTCGTTGCCACTGAGCACCTTCAAAAAGGGCTCCGCGAGATCATTGTCTGTGACCAGAATGGGGCTAATGAGTAATTTATATCATTTTCGATTTTTTTACTATGAGTGTTATTTTTATTACTTTCTCTCTGAATGGCTGTTTTGTTGGTATTAGTATTATTGTCAAGATCGAATGTTTTATGTTTTGTTTTTGAATTTTTGATTTTTTTTTTAACGCAGGGTTGGGTGGTAGAGAGGACTATGGTCCTAACTCCGCCCTGCGCACATTTGTAATCTTTTTTTTTCTGTTGTTTCTATTAATAAAGGCATTATTATTATTATTATTATTTATCTAGAAAATCGTGGGATATTCAGGAACACTCACCACAAATTAATTCCTAAAAACACCAGAATACTTTAGATTTCAGAATTTCCTTAAGGGATTAGTAGAAATCCGTGCTTAAAATGCTTAACAATCTATAAATTCTTCCTCTCAAAATGCTTTTATATTCCTTGAACAAGATTAAATTCCGTGAGAAATTCTTAGATTGACTTGAGTTATTCCCATAAAAAATAGTTATACGAGTTCAAAATAGTCTGTGTAACAAGTTGCCCCTTCTTATGAGTATTCACAATCAGACTTGTAGGGTGAAAAGGCCAATTATGCTATTTGAAGACATCGAACACCAAACTGTAACTTTGGCCGAATGGAGAGTTTGTTTGTGAAGTTGATGATCTGCTGAGGTGGAAATGAGCTTCATCACTAATCCACAAATTATCGATGAGCTGTAGGTTGTCTTCAAACATCTGTAGCATGCGCTTACAAATACCAAGGCTACGCTCAAAACTAACGTTCACAGGTTAATCTTGTGGGTGTCAAAGCATGGACTATTTGAATCTAGTACGGATGTAGGTTTAAATCATTATATAAAATTCTTCTTACTTAATCTAGTCGGAAGTCCTAGAGCAGCGAGACACTTTGCAGATCAGTGAGGATTTCTTACAATCACTACTCGTACAGTCTCTATATTCTTGGGAGTCCACTACCGTCTTGTTTTCTTAAGGTGGGTTCATGCAAAGTGTTTTAGTTTTAGTCATAATCATAGTCATAAGCGTTTCCTTTAGCTGTAGTTATAAGGAAAGATTTTGACATATAAACAGCCGTGCCATAACTTGTGCCAAATTAGAAATCGGGAGTGAAACTGTTTTGTTTATTATGAATAAAAAGAAAATTGTTGTCGCTGATAGTGTAATGTGCTTGAATGCAGCTCTATTAATCGCACAAAGATTAAGAAATAAAAGACGACGGCGTTTTGGCAGAAGACCAATCAATAAAAATAGAGAATTAGATTGATATTATGCCACTCTGATTAAAAACATGTTGGAAAAACAGGAAGACGATTTGCAATGTTTTAAATATGTTCGTATGTCGTTCGAAGAGTTTAAGGAATTGTTAAGACTGGTTGAACCTTTTTTAGCAAAAACACCAAATAAAGGTGCAATTTCACCGGCTCAAAAGTTGATAGTAATCCTACAGTAAGTTTTTGTTTAATTTTATATTATAAAAAAAATTTAATTATGTAATAAAATCATTGTAGTTATTTGTCAGAAGGAAGTTCTATGCAAGAACTAGCTTGGAATTTTCGAATGGGAAAATCCACTGTACATTATAAAATTAAAGAGACAACAACTGTTCTGTGAGACGTACTACAGCCAAGAATGTTACCAGAGCTAACAAGAGACATATTAGGCTCGCTTGAAGATACATTCTACAAACGAGGGAACATGCCAAGGAATATGCAAGCACCAAAAGCATCGGTAAGTAAGTTCTTCAATTATAAACATACCTTCAGCATTGTTTCAATGGCATGTGTAGATGCGGATTATAATTTCATTATAGCAGATATTGGAGCTAGTGGAAGAAATGATGACAGCACTATCTTTAAAGAATCTTTTTTCGGGAGAGCTTTTTTAAATGGAAACATAGCTATCCCTTTTCCAAAGAAATTGCCTAGAAGCAACATTATACTTCTACATTTTGTTGTGGGTGATGCTGCGTTTCCTCCAAGGGAAAATATAATGAGACCATACCGGACAGCACTTAGGACTAGAAAAAAACAATATCAACTATCGTTTATCCAGGGCAAGGAGGACCGTTGAAAATGCCTTTGGTATACTCTGCCAGTGGTGGCGAATTCTACGGAGGCCAATCATAACTAGGGTAGACATAGTAGAAAATATTGTAAAAGCCACACTAGTTTTACATCACTTCCTTCGTATTGGATACGTACAGGATTTGGTGATACTATTCAGTCAGAGTCAAGGGAAATTATAAATGGTCAGTGCGACCAATGCCACTGCAAAATATAGGACGGGTTGGAAGCAACAATGCGGCAAGAAGGTTCCAGAAGAACACAGACTTGTGTGAATATTTTAACGGTATTGGAAGTGTAACATGGAAATATGACCATGTATCGCGCGTTAGACCTTAATTTTTTTATATTAACACAATATTCATAAATAATGTTTTTGTGTGTAATTTCAAAACAAGAGATAAATAAAGATAACTCTATTAATTTTGAGTCAATTAGGTCCGCATCTGACTCCATTGAAATAATTGTCGAAACAATAACGCACAACAACCGTAATACAATAAAATACAAAACCTAACTGACCTAACCTCAATTTATAAAATAAAAGAAAACACTGCTATATTACAAGAACACAAAAGAGAAAAGTGTGCATGTGTCACGTTACGACCGATTGTTTTAGCTTTAAGAAGTTAAAAGTTGGGCAATTCTCTAGGACAAAAACCATTTTAGTCGTAAGATGTTGCATGAAGAGTACTAGTATAACACAATACCTTAACTTTCCACTCTTACGCCTATGCCAATAACTACGACTAAAACACGTTGCATGAACCCACCTTTATTGTTTGGGCTACTATTTTTAAGTTCAGAATCCAAACAGAAATGGATTCCTACTCGAAATGGACTCTACCTTCCTAAATGTCGGTGTAATTCGCGTTGTACTTGCATATAATTTGACCATTTTCTAAATAAGCTGTAACAGCAAACCACGTTGTTCACCAGTCCAATTAAGCATGTTGACTTAACTGTCAAATGTATTGAATATGATAATCACTGCGAATTAACTCATTATAAAAGCCTCAATATTCAAAAAGTGAAACTTTTTGCTGCTTCTATACAAAATTTCATCTTTTGTCTTAACAATTGTTGCAAAACAAAATTAAATGTATGTTTTATAATACTTTTTTAATAGTTTTAAATAGCTTGACTGCCCCAACCTGTATATAAAAAAGTTTATACAACCTGGTGATTTTTCAGTAATACCAGAAACCTCAAAAATGTTTGAGAACCCTTTAGAAGTCTCCATAACACCTTAATAATTTTAGATATCTGAAAATCTACTGTAAATGCTTACAATTAATCTTCAAATCCACATCGGTTTGCAATTTAGTCTTATTGTGGCTAATGAATAAATTGGTTAGCATAAGAGTCACATTTAGAGATGTTTGAATATTGTCGTGGTAAAGGTGACGATTCGTTATAGAACCTTGACGGCGATCACCTGTTTTTGCGCATTATAATTCATCTTTGTTTATGATTAAAGACCTATGATTTATATATAGGACAATATAAAAATTGATTTAAATTTAAAAAATTTCTAAAACTAATTGATTTGAAAGCAAATGCAGTGAAGACCGGCTATAACGAGCATCCAAGGGAGCGGAAGAATCGTTCGTGATTGCCTTGTTATAGCCAAAGTTGCCAAATATGTAATCTAAACTTATTGTTAATAAAAAGTAGTCACCCGTGGTTCTTAAACGACAAAACATACTTTTATCATTTTGTTATTACTTAATTTAACAAAAATATAAGTATGTTATACATACTATTCAAACTAAAACTATATGCAATCTATAACTAAACAAATATACTTTTTTTGACTACAAAAAACTCTTCTTTAGTGAAATATTATTTGATGTTTTTTTGCAATAATTCCTAGCGAATGTTACTGTTGGACATACATTCACTTTTATCTGTATAGTTGGTTTCAATGTAACGTGATACAGTAAATAAAGCCTCTAGAAATTGATTCTTTTGTTAGTAGATAAAGTTCCACAGTTTATGCATGACTTTACCTTATCCGCTCGTTATAGGCGGTACAAAACATGCAAAATTAGTTATAATAATTAATTAGTTATAGTAAAATAATTATAGCCGATTTTTAACATTGTAAGGATAGCACTTTTGACGGGACCTGAGACATGCTCGTTATATCGCGTGTTCGTTATAACCGGTCTTTACAGTATAATCTAATAACACAATCTAAAACTAAATGTAAACAATCTCCAACAAATTAGTGGTATTATAGCATAAATTTTCAAAATTTTCTTGTTAAAAAAAATGACCACGTTTTCCGTTCGATATTACATATAACGCGAACATTTCGTGTGCAGTTTGTGTAAGTAATCGCCACACGTGTGACGAATGATAAGGGGTGCGAGTAAAGAGGGTGTGATGTTTCAACATGAAAAGAATTCGTTTCAACGATCGTTTCCGATCGAGTTTACCACCATTTTTCCCAAAAAAAAACTTAAAACAGATTTCTTTTCACATTTCTTTATGCAAAACAATAAAAAAACGTCAAAGTTGGTATTTCAAAATTAAATCAGTTGAGTATCACGAGTACCAACTCAATTTTAATTGAAAACGAAAATGTAATCACAAATATCCCGTTGATAATAATTAATAAATTAATTACATTATTAATATAATCTGGATAAAATAAAACTTATTTTCATGATTTTTTTTTGTTTGAAAAGTAATTAAATATAAAATTACAAATATAAACTACGAAGTTAAAATGTGATATATAAAATAATAAAATTGTAATAAATATTTATTATTATTTACCATTAAAGCGAAACTTTCACGTTTTTGTCTGCAATTAGATTTAAAAACCCAGCTTGTTTTAAACACTATTAAGTCTTTATATTGATTTTTTGTGAAAGTTCGAAAAGAATTTACGGAAAAACACGCTATTTTATACGGATCATTTTTATATTATTGTTATGAACTGTTCGCGTCGCGGCGCAGCGCATATTGTTGTCTCTTACCGGTCACGAAAACGCTCCAGCTTCTACAAAATTCAAGCACGCGCCCTGAGCTTTACAATTACCTGAAGTTAGGAACTATTCGTTCAAAAACATAGTGATATAATTATTTGTAAATACATAAATCTTCCACCTAAATTTAATAATAAGTTAGTGGTGCACAATAATTGAGTAATTATAAATAAATAATAATTTGTAATTTTTTTGCTACCTTAAACTGTCACTTACTCACTTCACAATTATTGAGATTTGGATTTTTTAAGATTTAGCATTTATTTAGGAAATATATTAATAATGTATATAAATAAAATAACAATATTATTAAAAATGAAATACAATTAAAATGATTTGAATTAATAAATAAAATAAAGTGAATAATTCATTTCTTACTATTAAGAGCGCCATCTATTGCAAGATCTTTAATTGAATCTGACACGATTAAAACGGTATATAGAGTTCTTTTCTTTTGAGATGTGTTTGTATAGTAAGTTATCTTGTTTATACCAAAAATTAATAAGTTGTGAAGTAAGAGTTAAAAAATAAAGAAACAAGCGAAATTAAGTATAAAAGAACTCTTCCGATGTGAAAAAATGTAATTCTTTTTGAGAACTTGGGACTGATTGTATGTCGAAATCCCACCGTAAGATGGCACTAGCGTCTATACTGAAATAATTTAATTAAACTAACAATTTTATTATTAATAATGGGAATGATGAGAGACAACAATAATAATTATTACCAGTATCATTCTTTTAATTTAAAAAGTATAGATTCCAATTCGTGTTATATTTTTGAATTTGCCGCTAACTTCAACTTTTAAAATTATAAAGTTGAAGTTTGTTCAGAATGACAGCTGAAAACGTCATTTTAAAGTGATTTTTCGGTAAGAGTATATTAAAGTAATAATGGTATGATTAAATAATTAGATTATAATTGACATTATAGCTTTGTTTCAGCTAACGTGATAAGTTGTTAGAAGCTCGTCTCACATGTCATATGATGCAGTGATATTCAAATGTGCGGCATTATTTGACAGGTGTAATTGCATCTGAGGGATTCCCAACCAGTCGGAACGTTAATTGGAGCCACATAGTGGTTCCAAACAGTTATTCTGTGGTTGGAGCTTTTATATGTAAACCCAATCCAACCTATATTCTAGTGGTTCGATTCTTAGCGGAATAATTCTAAAATATCCCCAACAGATGGCGCCATATGCGTTCAATTTTTAGTAAAAAGTTTTTATTTAGAGAGTTGCATTTCTACAAAGCTATTTTCTATGATAGATGGCCCTGATAAAGCAACATTTGTAAGTCAAAAATAAATTGAGCAACGAGAATGAATTGGTGTCTAATTTAAACCATGATAAATCGTACGATTATGTACTGGTATACATGAGTCTTTGGAACACATTATGAAGTGTCGTAGTCTATTTTTTGGCCTATTTGTTTTAATTTGAAAAAACACATGACCATACAAAGTAAAATCAGCATATACAAGACCTGCTTAAGACCTGTAATGACATACGCTACGGAAACTCTACAACAAAAAGAATAATTCGAACAGCAGAGATGAGGATGGTCCCGAACCAGACGTCGCGCATGGAGGGAACATGTTGAACGGATGGATGATTGAACAGATTGGCGAAAATTGCATAGGATGATTCCAAGATCAAACAGACTTCCTGTACGCCCACCCACAAGGTGGTATGAAAGCTGAAATTCATCTTCACAGCCGCGTCTCGAGATAATAGAGTACAAGGCAAAGGCCTTAAAAAGAGGAAGAAGAATTAATTTGTATTTTTTCAAATTTGTCCAATTAGAACTGTTGGCTAGGATATGATTTGTAGCTTGCAAATCATCCTGATTCAATCCTGATTTTTGCAGGATTGTCCGCACAAGGCAGGTATTCCGTTTCTTGAAATTAAACAAGGATGGACTGCGTGGACTAAAGATCATAACAATAGACAACACGGTGATAAGCGACTAAAACGAGTTTTCTTGGTGTAGACAGAATGTTTACAATAATTTTTTTATTGTTTCTGTTTCCTAAACAGGTTGCGGCAATCAGAAACAAAATGTTTGGTGTGGACATACCTTTAGAGGCAGATTTCGTTCTTTGGCTGCAATTGGTGTTGATTGTATAAGAGATCTTAGGCAGATAGTGTCGCGGAGAACTGTGTCCCTACCAACGAACTTCATTTTTTAATCACCACTCATACCGACTTTTACGACGTCTTCTTTTGACGCAACTTCATAAAAGAGCCAGACTTCTATGGTGCCAAGAAAGACAACGTTGGATCGATGAATGGGATCACATAATGTTTGGTGACGAAGCCCTGTTCTGTTTGTGGCAAAATATTCGACGGATAATGGTAAGAAGATTCCGTGGCGTTCGACGCAACAGGATAATGTCCGAACTCATTTCGCCCAGATCTATGAGAACTTCCTACACGAAGAACAAGTACAATTTCTTCGATGGCCTGCTCACTCTCCGGATTTAAACCCGATCGAGCATGTGTGGAATATGATGGGTTACTACATAAAGCGTTTAACACAAACAGTAAACATCTTGCAGGAACTTCGTCGTCATCTACAGCAAGCCTGGGATGAGATTCCACAAGATACCATTGATAATCTCATTCAGAGCATGTCTCGCAGAGTAAGACAGTGCATAAACAATTATGGGGATATAACATTTTATTGACATAAATTGTGGGTATTTTTTTAATTGTTATGAACTATATTTTTTTGTGACTCAGGTCTTTCGAGGTGTTGTATTTTTTTGGCACGTAGTTTATAGACGAAAATTTAACAATTACATTATAACAAAGGAGCAATAGATTTAAAGTACCTTTATTCTATAAAGTAAACTGAGCAAAATAATAAGATGGTATATTGCGTGTACTACGTGTCTATGTAATTTGGGGATTAAACAATTTAAATGATTAAAACAGGAAAGTTGTTAGCAAGTATATTTATTAATAAATCTCCAAATGATACATTTCTTAAACATAAAAATAAATTACAATTTTTTTTTAGAGTTTATAACAATTATTACTGATTTATTATTGAGGTAATGATTCATTATTAATTATTCATTATTAATAATTAAGGTTTTTTTTACATTTTCATAAAAAGTTAATTATTAATTAATTAATTATTAATATAACTCCCAAACAAATCAGGATTTTTCTGTTGAAGTCGTTTCAACGAAATTTCAGGTAAACTTGAAACGCTTCCCGATGACTCGGACGATTTCGAATTTAATTTCAATTTTGGAATTTCTATCCTTCGTTTATTCAATTCTTTTTCTACTGCAGGAGGTAGTAATTCATTATTATCCTAAAATATTATTTAGAATAATTCATTTATGTCAATTAATTAAAGTTGTTTTTTACCTTTTTCATTTCTTCCGGATTAGTCCAAATGTCTCTATTTTTAAACGTCAAAGAATATTCATCATCATTCAAGGTTAAAAGATCATTTGCTGACATAACAGGTCTCACCGCGATATTCGGCGATCTTACTGTGACTCTCTTTGCTTCTTCGAGATTTCGAACCAATTTTTCGTTTTCTCTACTTAACAATTCTTGGTCCCTCAACATTTGATCTTTTAAATAAAATAATTGGGCGTTGTCGTTTTTTAAATTTTCGTTTTCTTCCGCGTACACTTGCACTAATTGGATTAATTCTTTGTTGTCCATATGGACTATATCATCAACGTTTAATTTTGGTACGTTTGAATTAACATCTTTTGAAACTAAAATATTTTTTTTTAAGTATTTTTTGTGATAATTTTAAAGACTTACTTAAAGTAAAATCTGATAAAGGTACTGTTGATAAAGCGTTTCTTAAATGCTCGTTTTCTAATTCTAAATTTTCCACGGTTTGTTTTAGCGATAAAATTAAAGCTTCTCTTGGATCCATCATAACGACCGGTTTTAATTTAATCTTTTTCGCTCGGCTTGCGTATCTCAAAGTGTTTAAAGTTTCGTTTAAATTTGAACGAGCCGGAGATATACAGGCTATCATTAAAGTGACGCCGTTTCCCGCCAAAGAATCTGCTAATAACTTTGTTAATTTTGAGTCTCTGTAAGGGATGTAGTTATTTTTTTTCTTTGTATCGCTTAATGTTGATATACAATAACCTTAAATACAATCAAAAATTTACAATTTGGTAATCACTTGATTTGCTTTTTACCTAAAACCATAAGGCTTTTATTTATATTATTCGCTTCTTCTAAAGTTTTTCCGGCGCTTTGCGTCTTCTTCGTCATTTCGCTCCCCGCTAAATCCACAAAATTTATTTTACCTGATCTTGAAATAAAAACGCCTCCTTCTGCTGGTTGTTCAGACGTTATATACACAGTTAAAATTGTATGGCTACGACTACAAAACAATTCAATATTTAAAAATAAAGTTCTAAAAGAAAGTTTTACCTAGAAAAGTCATTCATGTTATGATAACCCATCGATCGATTACGAATCCCTTCTTCTAAAACCCCAATCAAATCGTCCAACTCCTCACAATCGACCATAAATAGATTCTCGACGAAAAAGCCGCGATTTTTTTTGCTCCATCGAACAGCCAAAGGTTTTCTTCGAATAGCCGGGTTTAATAAATCGATAACCTTTTCATTGTAAATCTCCAAAAAACTTGCTTTCAATATAAAATTGAAGTTGTTTCTTTTTTGGATTTCCTCAAATATGTGTAAAAAAGCTCGAAATATCAAACCGTGATGTTCACTGTATGGGGAAAGCTTCTTAAACTAAAATTCAAAAATAGCAAAAATCCAAAAAACAACATTTTAGATTACTAATTTAGGTGGTCCAGTTAACGTGTGAGTTTTCCCACTTCCAGTTTGTCCATAACAAAAAATTGTGCACCGAAATCCTTCAATAGCCATTTCAATCAATCGCTTAACCCCCGAATATTGCAAAACATCTTCTTGCGTAGCCGTTGGTTCAAAAACGGTGTTATAGCT